ACAAGCAATGCTCCAGCTGCAAGGTTGATTGGGTCTGTTTGCTTTATGATGTTCATCATTGAGAACTATTCGTTATCGCAGTGGGGACACGTACACTCCCTCTCAGACACAGGCTAGTCTTCATTTAATCTGAATGAAATCCTGTGAAAGTGGAAAGAGTTTGCAAATTCCTCAGTACTATAAGTAACAAAAAGAACATTATTAAACTTAATATTTAATTAAAAGAAACCACTGCAGGAAAATATTTTTGACCCATGTTGGGCACTATGCTGTAAAATACGATTCTTTCCCAAGTCTGAACATATTCTTAAATTCAGTCTGTCAGAGATACCGGGTATGCCTTAATTGAAACTCCACATATAAAAGTAAAACTGCTAATCTGACCACTCCGGAAGTATAAAAGTCTACATATGACTCTGTACATTGCAGGACTTTTTAGAATGTGTATTTGCATAACCACAAACCAAAAAAGCTACCAACTGGGCTGTTTATGTGAATATTTTCATAAGTTAAAAGCAGGAATAATCAGTGTATAGTTTGTGTTTTGAAAAGTGTGTAGTTTCTAAGTCAGATCTCAGAATAATAAGGAAATTGATTCAAATCACTTAGACAATAATATATTTTCACCATGAGATACAGATCTTCTAAAATATTTAAAAGTTTTCATTAAGATCAAAGAAAAAAACCCAACCAAACTCAAAACCAAACCAAACCAACAAAAATTTGAGCCATAAAATAGTTGTTATTTTAAAGATGTACCCAAGGTGGCAATAAGTGCTTGTAATTTAAGCTAAGAAAAGACAATTCTCTTTATCATTCTTTAAAAGGAGGGAATATCACCTTTTACCATGGCTTAGGGATTTTCAACAGCTATGCTAAGATGAGAAGGATACCACCTAGGAAGTGAGTTTGACCTTTTTCAAAATATGTGAATTCTGTTCTTACTTTTCAACTTTAGTTCCAAATCAGAATATGAGCCATTCCACATTTCACCACGAGGCACACAGGTATGTAAGGTGCAAAGCACTGAGCTTATCGTAACAAGCATACACAACATCAATACTGAAAAGAATGTGCATATATAATTGCATCCATAGCTAACAGTCTGGGATAACAGCAGTGGTTTCCCCATAGGAGACAGAAAGGCTGCCAAAGTGCATCATGTGAGAAAAAAAAAGGGGATCCTTAGGTCAGTGATCTTTCATAGTTGCCCAGAGAGAAGAGCAGTGAGGAAGACAGCCTGCTGCCTCATCCCCCCAGGGCTGTAGCTGGCTCACCCTGCGTGCCTTAAGGAATCCGGCAGCTACTACTTAATTTACAGTGTTGCAGTTGCTTACACATGACTCTGTTCTTCAAAAAAACTTTTGTGAAGATGTTCTACCTTTTACTTTAATACCTGTGGATAACACCTGAAAGAGAGCTTTTTATAAGTGCTTATAAGGTAAAGAAAACTGTTTCTAACCTTTCTCATATTGTCTGAAGACATCATAACTTTTCCTCACCAATAAAATTTATTTTATTCTTCCTTTTTTTTTTAAGAGAGACAGCCACATTCATCTTAAAAGATCACCAGAAAGTTCAGAGTACTCTGAATGTCACTACACTTTCAAAATACTTACAGGACACATTCAAAGAAGTGGAAAAGAGGACAAGTGGACTGGGAGGAATGCAGGGGAATTGTACGGAAAGTTAGGGACAAGGTCAGGGAAGCCGAGGCCCAGTAAGAATTGAGTCTATCCATGGATATCAAGGATAACAGGAAGAGCTTCTGTAGATATGTTGCAAGCAAAAGAAAGAATAGAGATAATGTGGGCCCTCTCCTTTGATGGAAGGAAACGGGAGACCTGGCTACCCTGGGCAAAGAGAAGGCTGAGGCTCCTGATGACTTCTATGCCTCAGCCTTCAACAGTAAGTGCTCCAGCCATGCCACCCAAGTCAAGAAAGGAAAATGCAGGGACTGGGATCTTCAGCTTTATACTGAGAATACTACATACGCGTGTGTGTGTATATATATATATATATATATATATATACAGACATACATACACATACATATATACAAAAAATATCCGACTCATGGATTTCTTTCATCACAGGTGTGGTTTGGTTTTTTTTTCTGTTTCTAGAGGAAATGTGGTATATACCAGGAAAGAAATGTAGAAAGCCCAAATTCCAATCTTACATAAACACATACTTGGAAACATAGCACACAGAAAATGGAAAAAAATAAGAGACTGTTTTCTAATGATGGGTGTGTGACAGCAGCACACACAACATTATCACAAAGGGTAATACTAAGGAATACAGAGAGTTACTTTTCATAAATCCAAATTTGATAAACATGTTATATGTTGATAAACAAATCGCAACTTCCCACATGTTCTGAAAACTCTGAGGCAAATTGTTAAATATTACTAATATTTTTAATTTTTTTCATTCTAGTTAAAAAGTATCTTTGGTAGAGAAATTTCAGATGTCTTAGGAAAAAAAAATCACTCCTTGTGGAGCTGATGAAATTTGATGGAATTTGTTGTCAGCAACGGTTCACACAAATGTCACCATTTATTGATACTGCCTGGCGACATGTTTGAGACTGTACATCTGAGAGGTGTGTTATTCCTTTGTTTCCATTAATTATGTTTTCATTAATACAGTAAGAAAATCAACTATCAATTTAATTCTCTACTTTTAATTTGACATTTGCAACATTTATTTCTCAGTTCCTAAATTAAAGTTTAATTCCTTTTCCAAATCAAATAAACAGTCTGTTCCACCAGCCCCCATCTATTCTATGAACTCCTCAATGTATGTCCATGGCACTTCAACTTGCTTTTCAGGTCACCAAGAACGCATGACAGGCACCTAAGGTCAGAATCTCTACCTATAAAGCACTAAATAAAAGTCTTATCAAGACGTCAATATTGGTGTTATAAAATTAGTAGTACTACAAGTAAATCTGCTTGTCCTCTTTAGTCACATAATATTATAAAGATGTTATGAAGACCTACAGTACTACCCAAGTTTACTAATTTGGAGGTTGTCCTTAAATCTGCTGGAGTTTGCAGAGGTGGAAATTGAATAATTCCCTCCATATGCATTCATTCATTTTTAGCACATCAAAATCAGCCAAGTCTCCTTCTGTCTCTGTCTAGTTAAACATTAAATACTGAACTCCTACCTACACTACAAGTGATAAATTACATTTTTTTAAAATTATTCCTACAAATGCAAACATGCATCTGATTCCAACTTTTTTTTTCCATTCTCTTTTTTGTCAGTCTGAGCCTGTTGAAATACTGCTGTGCAGTGGAGCAGGGGACAGAAGGGATCACCTGATGACGGAGGGAATACGTACTCTTCAAATCCATATATCATATATTGTAAAAGACAATTGACAACCTCCTTCTGGTATAAATCACATGCTCAAAGAATCTCTCTTTGTTTTCTTTATATCAGAGTCAATCAAACAGAGTACATGGATGTTTACTGTGAGGTTAATCACTTGACAGTAATTGCCTCCCTGTACTGACCAAATAAATCAATTCCATACAACAACAACAAAAAGTTTCTGGTTATTGAGCTTAAATAAATACAATTGATTACTTGAAATCTCCCAAAGCAACATAAATTATAGGATTTCCAGACTCATCTAATTACATACCACAATTCTCTATAATTTCTGTTAATGGAGAGGGCAAATGGGATACACTGAAAGAGAAAACAAACTTTTCACCATTGAAAGAAACTGTTGCAATTCAACCTAACGCCCAACATAAGTGTGTTACTAGTTGTTGGTATGCAATAGATTTGTATATTAGATACTAAAAAGGAGCAAGGAAAGCCCACAAAATAATTTCTCTAAGATTTGTTTCTTGGTTTATTAGGTATTTTGAAGGTGTAAGAACTCATACATGCAGGCGTCTGATAGCCACATGGATCTCGTTCACCTCTAGTGTTCCAAGAAAATCCTTATTTTGCCTTCTTTTATGAAATTTACTGTGTAACTACACAGCATTGCATAGATCATTATGTACTCCTGTCTTCCATTGTTATCCTATAATTCCAAAGGCTGATTTTCTACCTTAGGTATATGTTCAACTATATGTTTTACGTATTTTTAAAACAGAGGTTGGACGTCTGGTGAGGAATTGAAAATTCAGTGGACCATTCTTCATACTGTTCTGTGGACATCACTATTACAGTACATATTTTGTTTTCATCTATAATGGATTTTACATATTGATATGGTAGTTTTAAATGCAGATTATATTAAATGTATCTTATTCAATTGCTGTTTACTAAATTATAGTTTATTTATGTTACATAATTACTCTGTGGAACTTGATACTTCAAAATGTTTTTGCAGCCAAGACTAAATGGATTAGAAAAATAATCAGACTAATGGAAAATAGGTTAATTGGTAGCCACAGTGAATGATAATTGAGATCAGGAAGTTCTTGAACTATTATAAACTGCAGAAAGTGGGGAGAGAATACCAGGGGAATAATGCTACTGCCCCTCAGTCACGCCCTGCTCAGGCACCGGTCACACAGGTGCAAAGGTCTCACTGGGACAGAGCTGCTGCTCCTGGGTTGTGGCTACAGCCTTTCTCACATCCAAAGACAATTAGAGCTAATACTATTGAGCTATTGCTACAGCTATTTTTAAATCCCAAGGCATTTAATTACATGAAGAAGTATGATAAGATTTAATAATCTTATTTTCTGTTAGAGGTAGTGCTTGCTGAATTTGCCTGTTCCTTGACCACATTTTCCAGTCAAAAGAAGGAGCTCCCCACAATCTTTTGGAACAGAACAGAAGTCAGACTTGTCAAGGTGCTAGAGATACCACTGTGAAGTATTCAAGAGAGCTTAAATGTATGAGCATATCTAGGCACACAGCAAAGTTGTGTGCAAATGACTCAAATACACACAACTCAAATCACAGTATTCAATATTTTTTATATAAATACAGGAGATATAGCAAGATCCTGTAATTACCTGTAACTGTTAATTCCGTCGTTCTTCTGACAACAAAGAATCCATATTTTAACTCACAAGTGTAATTTCCAATGTCATCCTCTCTAACTTCCCGAATGACAAGAGTGTCCTTTTTAAACACAATACTTGATCTCCATGTCTTTGACTTGCATTCCTGTTTAAAGATAATATAACACTTCAGTGACTGTTGTTACACTTAAAATGGACCACTGTTTACAATGCTGCTCAAAGCTAAGGGGGTTAGGCAACAGCCCAGGCTAGTTATAAACTGTGTATACACTAAACATCTAAAAATCCAGTCCATTTAGGTGTTGATTAAAAAGAAAAAAGACTGGAATTTTATCAGCTGATTTAATATTTGTGCCTCTGTCAAGAACAAGGAGTTGATTCCTTTGGTGGTTTTCTTTTGACATTAGTTTGCTGAATGGCTCCCATTTAATTTATGTATTTACCATTACACTTATGCCTGTGATCTATTACTTTTATACTGCCATCAGCTAGGCAGGCAAGGATTTTTATATTGCCAGCAGCTTCAGGCAACGATTATTTTTTTTTCTTCATAATAATTATTTTTTACATTATAACAAAAAAATTTAGAGAAGCAGAAGACTATGAGAATGAAGAGAAATATATATATATATACATATCTTTCTAAAACTATCTAAAAATCAAAGCTCTCTGAACTTAGAAAATGTGAGTTTTTAATCTACAAAAATATTGTATTACAAACACAAAATCCAAGATGAGAATAAGCAAATAATTGGTTACATTTCTCCTATCTTAGATATGCTGTAAGTTAATTTGAACCATATCTCTCTAGGCCACAAAATTTCCCTTATTAGATAGCATAGCCTTGTAAACCATAATTAATAGTATTTATATTATTGTGTAAATTATCACACTTCAGAAAAATAATTAGAATGTATACCAGTGCATACTTAAACTAGGACTTCCTATATACACAGACATCTGTAAAGGTCTATGCAGACAAAATACACAGAACATAAATTTCCAATTTACTGAGCAGTTTGGGGTCTTTAAATAGAGAACTGGAGTACTGAGTATTTCATGTAGATAGTAAGAATTGAAGAACTCAAGCTGCTGTTCATGGAAGTTCCAGTGCACTACACACAGGGAGCACTATCTGCAAGAACTTAGCCTTTAAGAAAAGATCTAGAAATCAGTACATATAGTAAGATTAAAAAATGAAATTATATTTGCAAATATAACCTCAACTCATGCAGAAATCAAAGTTCTGGTAGTATACGCTGAATTTCATGCTGCAAAATTAAGCCATTAATTCAGGTAAGAGCATGCACAGATATCTTATAAAGGTTACGAAAGGAAGCATTTGAATCTCTCTCAATTAGTTTGTTCTTCTCTATCATTGATTCTGCTGCCTGTTCTTTACAAATTTTAAAACAATCAAAGTTTCATAACACATTTAGATCATGAAAATCAAAAGAACACTGCATAGTATCTTTTTGAAGGTATAGATCGATTGCATTCCTTACCTTATACCACAGAATTTCAGGCTCCCTAAATGGAAATAAAAAATCCTCAATTTCAGGGCATGAGATTTCCTTGCTTTTGCTAAGTTCAGCTTTCTCAAAATATTTCATCTTTGAATTGTAGCAGAGTCCAGTGTCATTTTCACCCACCGTCAGCGAAATGGACACTTTCATACAGTAAGTTGAGTTTCTGTAATGCAATAAAAACAGAAAGAAAAGTCTAATATAAAAAAAAAAAAGACTAATTGCCAATGCACATGACATTGTTTTTCATCCCAAGAAAAAATTAGAAAATTTTGTGTGTATTTTATAGCTGTTCATCATAATTTTGCTTCTTTCTCACCAGTAATGACAATATTTAGAAGGTGCTGATTTGCCCTACCCTATGACTAAAGGTTTATTTCTCCCTTTCATCAAAATCTTTCTAATATTAGTGTCCTTACTGTGTATTTGAACAATTTCCAAAAAAATAAGCAAACAATAACAGATCCATGTATTTAGCAGTGAAAGTATACAACCAACTTGCTCACAGACACCGTTTTGGCAGCTCTCAGGAGGGAAGGGATCATACTGTGATACTACAGGCAAATGACAAATTGGAATTAGAGCCCCACACCAAGACCCACCTATTTATTCATCAGCTCTGAGCATTCCTTAAATGGGAAGTGTTGGCCTTTTTGCAGACTTTAATTAAAAAGAATCTTGTGGCCCTTTTAATCATACAAGGAAGGATGTTTCAACCTAACACAGACCAACTTGTTTACTTTAGCCTTTAATCCCCACATCCCAGGACAAAATGTTGTTTCTGCATTACCTACAGCCTGCATTAGTTTGTTCTCTCTCCTGAAACTTATTACTGACTCTGTTCATGGATGTTGATAAGCCAGGCAACCAGAGAGTAGGAAACATTGTCTGCCTTCCCACATTTCACTGTGTGATTTAATTAGGCTCAGAGACAAAACTACTTAAAATTTATTTATTTATTTATTTTCATTTGAGTTTCCAGGTGGGCAGTAAATAAGTGTGTAAAGTTGAGTACTCCCCAGGAACACACTGCAACAATGCAAGATTTCTCTCCTAATGTTTTGTAAATGCATTTGACCCTTGATTTGCTGAATGAGGATCCTGCAGAGAACACTAAGGAAACATTCATCTCCTTATCTCCATTCTCAGGCTCTATGAGCTGATTATTATTTACAACAGAATCCAGTGTATCAGACATGGGAGAATCTCAAAGATCCATTTCTTAATATGTTTCATTTCTCTGTTCAATAAGAGAGAACAGAAATTCTTAAGGATAAAGAATAAGAATACTTAATTCAAAGAACTCTAGAGTCCAATTTTTGTAGAGAAAATGTAACCCTGTAAGGGAAGCTCTGTAAGTAACTATAAAATTATAGAATAGTCTTAGAAAGTAAATTCTGGAACAGAATGACTCTTAGCTATCCAGTTAGTTCATGGATTTGTAAGGAAAACAAACACAAAATTATTTCCTTATAATGAAGCTGTAAGTACAGTTTATTATCCCATTAAGAATCTGTCTGTATAAAGCAAAGTTATTTAAACTTTATGCAAAGCAAAGAATGAAGTCACTGAATATGGATCACTCTTGCTGCTTTTAAGCTGTTAAAGAGATGATCACCATTCTTACCTGCATATGCAATTAAAAATCACCCTGTTTTTAAAGGACACTTCTTCATTCATGTACCTTATGTTATTCCTCCATTAGGATGCTACTTGGAATATTTTTTTTTTTAATCATGTGGTTTGGAAACATCATAACAAGTCAGCTAATTCTGTTTTTCCGAATTGGTAAAATTCTTTTTCGTTACTCTAACTCTTGGAAATGGGGAGAAGGCCTGAACAATCCATCCAGCTCTGAGGTTCAAGAGTATACTAAATAGAAGAGAAGATTCTGTTATTGGATGACAGGGAGCAATATATAGAGACGTAATTGGTTATAAAATTTTCACATTTAAATATTCTCTTTTGATCCTTCCTATGTGTTTGAGCATTATGTTGTGTTCATGTTACTGAACCTCATGATTTAAGTATTTCTAAAAGGACCTAGCAGGGCAAAAAACAAACAAACAAACGACACTTAACTGTCCTTCCATTCTCTGAGAAAACAAGGTAAGTAAAATTGTCACATAGGGATCTTTCAAAATTCAGAGTACATTGTGCAAAAATTATGATTTGATGTTTTGATCTACTAAAAAACTCTGTTCTGAAACAGTGACAATGTCAATTGCCAGACATAGAATTCCTTCTGGTGCACATCCATGTTTCCATCACAACAGCAGATCCTTTACCAGATGTAGCTAAGGCTTTCTGCTCCATAAGAGAAGTATTTTGGAAATATCCCAGAATGTTTAAGTTCATTGTTTGAAGATGATATTTCTAAACTGTCAGACACAAGGTACTAAAAAATTTGGGGTGGATTCTTTGTTAGCTGACAAAGAATTTGAATGTTTCTTTCAAAAGTCTAAAGTGTCACCAAAAGAACCTAAAGTTCCAGATGCCCACTGGTGAGACAGACTTTCTTATTCTGACTCCAAATATGAACTGCACTGTCATTATGACTCATCTCATACTCCGCGTCAGAAACCAAGGGTGTTGGTTTGAAACAAAACTCAGAATGACACAGAAGGCAGAGCTACACAAACAGTATGAGCAAAGGAAACCAAGCTAATGGTCTCAGAGAACAGAAACAGAGAAAGAAAATTAAGTAGCCCCCAGGTGGGAATGAAGAAGAAGAAGAAGAAAGAGGAGGTGCATTTGCTGATTACAGCTAGAGCTTGAAGGATACAGTAGATGTCAAAACTCTCAGGTAGCAGAAAAAGTAGCAGGCAGCAGAGCCCTCTGGCAAGCATGCATATACAGAAGAGGGTAAAAACTGTTCATGTGTTAGAATTAAGAAAATTTTCTGTATTTCTGTTACTGGAGGTACCAGATAAAAAGCACAAAACTATACAAAAATCCTCATTTCTTGAGCTAAAGGCATTTTAATAACCTGTATTAGCTAAAATAACTGTGCTTTAACTCATCACATGATACTTTTGGGGTGTTCTTTCATTTGTTTGCCTGGGGTTTTTTTCTGAATATGGTAATAAGAAGTGACAAGTTAGTCAATTTTTTGTTCTCTAATTAGTCCAGTCACAAATGTAGTGTACAATTTGCTAGAACCTTTTAGCACATATAAGTGAAACTTTCCATTTTCTTCTTTTATTCAATAGATTTTCAAACACTACAATAGTGAGATCCAAACAGTACAAAATACAAAAACAGGAAGCAAGAATCTCTTTGGGGATTTTTATTTAAGATAAAAAATCCATTTAAATCTTAAAAAGAAGTTAAAATAACAGGTAATTTGACAGAGAGAGAAGGAGGGGGAAGAAGATGAGGCAGTGGGGGAAACAAACAAGAGAACACACATGGATCAAGAACAGCTTCTCTAAACTTTAGCACTTGCAATATTGACATCTAAATTTAAAGGAATTGCTTAGAAAACTAAGCACTTAAACCATGATTTTTTTATAAAATACATCTCTGAAATGGGCCAGGTGGGTTACTCCTATGAAACTATGCTTTTTTTCATCCAAAAAAACCACTGGTAATTGTCAGTCTCCTCTTCAGCCTCACCAGAGAGAGCTCAGGAGTGGATTTATACAGCTCAGTATTCCCCAGGCAGCATCCCTCATCATCTCTATCCATGACAGAAGGGAAACTGGGACTCTACCCATTGCTTGTCCACTCTGGTGGTTTGCCATCATGCTATTTAACATGGTAAACAAACTGAAGAATAAACAGGAAGCCAAAAAAATCTCTTCTATGTGTTCCCTCATCATACCAACTGAGTTGGAAAAGTAACTTTATTTCCAACTCCTCGTAAACTGGACATTAAAAAGAAAGTCTGACAAAACTCTTTTCTTCACAGCTTTGTTTTAAATTTTAATAAGTGAACATAGCCACTGACGTCAATATCCATTTTCTATAAATGGTCCATCCCATTTCTGAAGAAAACTTTTGTTGACTTCATTAATTAGTTTTTTCATGGGTTTGCAGACACAATTTTGTCCTTTTTCAGTCCAAGTAACTTCTGTTAGAATTATTTGGATGCCTGAAAGCTGGAGAGTAAAGCATTCATTCAAGAGAGAAACAAAAACACGTTATTGATAATCTACTCGTGCTCTTGGCCAGTAGCTCCAAAGGCTCTTTGTGAGCTTTAAAACTTTAGCACAAAAATTTTTAAAGCCTCTACATAGCAGTGGGGTTGTTTGAGGACATGCCTGAGGCCTTGGGCCACATGGTGAGTGAGGAAGGCCAGCATATCATGCTGCAGCCAGAATTGCTATCGTGCACTGAGGTCCCCTTGGTGGCAGGATCTGATGCCCCCAGCAGTCTGTGGCTTTCGGACCATTTGCTCAGGACAGCAGTTCACAAACTTTATATGCAAAGTTCCCTTCTGGTGGGTTTGGTTTTGGTTTGCTTGTTGTTCTTGTTTGGTTTTTTTCCCCCCAAACTCTGGAATGGCTGACTCCCTCACTCCTGGCTCCGACAGCTGAAATTACAGATTACCTTTTCCACAAAGCTTCTGGAGCCAACTGAGCTGCCAGTGCTGGGGCAGTGCTTCAGGCATGGGGAAGAGAAGTGGAAGGAGGTGGACAGAAGACGGCTGGAATTTTCCTCTGTGCTTCAGAAATTATCTCCTTCTTCCATACCCTGGGGGGCCAACCCAGTTTGAAAACTGCTTTTGACCTCAATTGAATTACATAAGCACTGATTTCTTCCCTCGAGGGTCACCTAATTATGTGCATGATACTATGAAATAACCCAGTGCACAGGAGCCTCCAGGACTATTTGAATATCAATGCTCTGCATGATACTTGTTGTAATAGGTTTGAATTAGTCACACCAGAAAATATTGTTTGGTTTTAATGCCTGTTTCCATCCTTGGAAGCCAAAACCTTCACATTTTATCTTCTTCTGACACAAGCGGTACATGTTGCCATCCCAAGTTTCCTCTCCAAGCCTGCCAGAAGAGGATGTCAAAGTACAAAGTCTAACTGCATTAGAATAACACTTGCCTTGTGTTAAAGGGAGCTACTGAGTGATGTGAAAGGCCTTTTATTGATGTCCTGAACAATAAAAATTAAATAAAAATTAGCCTTTAGAAAGGGAATTTAATTT